TTATTATAATCCTTCCGATCGGGAAGTGTTTTGGATATGGGCACACTGGATCATTTCATGAATTTCTTTTCGTCTGGGACGGAATGCGGAACTCACCGCCAGAGTGCGTCGATGCCTAAGCAGGTCGACAACAACAAAAGCAGCAACGAAGTCATCTGGATGACTGGAATAGTGGTAATAGAAGATTTTTTGAATTCATGTTGGGTCGAGCGTATTCGAGAATAATGTGTCTACCAGTTGACGGCTGGTTAGCGCCCAGTGACCAGATTAGGGACAGTCGAGGTTTGAAAGAATTGCCTCTGACCTCTCATATAATCATCCTATGGGTAAACTGGGCTCACCCTCATAGATGTGAACAAGGGACGTTGAACATCCGGGCTTGATGATTTTATTTATCACCAGTTGGGCTACGCACGCTGATGCGTGTACCACATGCCCACCATTATCAGACGTCGTTATCACTGGACCCTCTTTCCTTTTTATCATGATTTTAGCAGTTCAGGAAACAACGTGTTGAAGTGAGAGATGCAAGACTAGAATTTCTGTATGGAGTTAGAGAGATACATATTATTTTCTTAGTTGCTGCAATCCTTAAATAACTCTGAAGGCAGTTAGAGAAGAGCGAAGCAACTGAAAGCGTTGTTGGTTTCCAACTGGAAGCCTCATCCTTTTATAGCCGATATTTTGGCTCCATGATACCCTATGAAAAGTGGGATTGCATTTGTTGTTGAAGCTATCATTGTTAATGCGTTGACATTCCAAACATAGATAGCCCATTTCCAGTAGAATATCCAAGAAAATCGCTGTACCTATATGCCTCCGGAGATTTTGGTTTACTGATAACATTATAACTTTCATTGCGACATTAGGCAGTGAATGGCGACAATGCATAGCAAGCTTCTCGCTTAGTTTGCTGAGGAATCGTCCCTATTTTGGGGCAAAAAGGCACCCTCTCATTTGACGTGTGCACCTACCGGCCAAATTACAAATAAATATTCGTAGTATCAGAGAATTATGGAGCTTTCAGAGCCACCACTATCAAAACCAGACTGCACCAATGCATTAAAACAGCTTGTTCGGTAAGCTTTCCGCAACCAACAATTACATAACTTTTGATTACTTCATTCTTGAGCCTTATTAGGGATTGGGTGATTGTTTAGCCGGAAATGCTATGAAGGAGGTGATACTGTGTTTAACGACTCAAAGCGAAATAATGATACAAAATAACTGTGACCAACATTTGGAAATTTTTGATTGCCCCTTTCTGACACAAATATGTCCTGAGGCTTGTTGACACAGCGATTCTTTTGGATAATTTTTGGAAATGGGCAATTTATAAATGGATTAACATGGCACTAACAATGATAGCTTCAAACAACAATACACATTAAAATGGTATCTCGGCTATAAAAGGCTGAAGCTTCCAGATGAAGACCAACAATGCATCCAGTTGCTTCTCTCTTTTCTTGTTTCCTACAGAGAGATTTCGCTTCATATCGGTGGTTTAACTAAAGTTAGAAACACTGCGATCTTTCGCTCATCACGCTGTGAACTTGAGTAATGGCTAGATATCTAGCCAACATGATAAATAAAATCATCAAGCCTGGGTGTTCAACGTCCCTTGTTCACATCTATGAGGGTGAGCCCAGTTTACCCATAGGATGATTATATGAGAGGTCAGAGGCAATTCTTTCAAACCTCGACTGTCCCTAATCTGGTCACTGGGCGCTAACCAGCCGTCAACTGGTAGACACATTATTCTCGAATACGCTCGACCCAACATGAATTCAAAAAATCTTCTATTACCACTATTCCAGTCATCCAGATGACTTCGTTGCTGCTTTTGTTGTTGTCGACCTGCTTAGGCATCGACGCACTCTGGCGGTGAGTTCCGCATTCCGTCCCAGACGAAAAGAAATTCATGAAATGATCCAGTGTGCCCATATCCAAAACACTTCCCGATCGGAAGGATTATAATAAGGACGCCATCGCTGAATATCTGAGACAGAAATACATCACAAACTACACTTTTGCAGCAAACTCTGACTTCCAGGAAGGGCTTTCCAATTATTTGAACGTGAGTTACCGCTACAACGCACTTCCAGTGGCTACTCAACTCGATCAGTTTTAGGCACAGTACTACGGCACTATCCAGATTGGAACTCCTCCTCAAACATTCAAAGTGCTATTTGACACCGGCTCGTCCAACCTATGGGTCCCGTGCTCGAATTGCCCACACACCAACAAAGCTTGTTCACAACATCAGAAGGTAGCTGGAAGGCAAACTGCGGTAAAATCAATGTGAATAGTCAATTGACCATTTTTAGTTTAATTGTGCGCAATCGTCAACCTGCACCCAAACGTACCAGCCCCTTCCGCTTCGTTATGGGACCGGCTCGCTGCAAGGTTACGTCGATTACGATGCTGTTTGTGTTAGTTTTGAAATCTCTCAGAATACATTGCAATCCAGGACTTTGTAGCGTCTTTTCCAGTTTGGAAAGAATCAAAAGTACTGCACCAACAGCTATCAAGGATTTGTTTGTGCAATGCAGGAACCCGGAGACACATTCCTTGTAAGTTGGAATGGTATTCTTGTGAACAGGTAACATAAGGAGAAGAACCGACTTCCTGATTCCAGAACACGCCATTCGACGGCATTCTCGGAATGGCATGGGATTCTATCGCAAAGGGAGGCATTTCCCAACCAATGTCCCAGATCTTCTCTAATCAGGTCATTTCTGTAAAACGCAAAGCGTTAATGCAAGAAGTTGGCTAGGACACATGCAAGTCGTGACGAGTTCAATGGAAAGTTCAAAAGGATGGAATGTGCAGAGTTCGAAAAGTAGAAAGACAACTTCGAATTCCTGATGACTACAATTATGCAGTAATGTAGTAAATCGCAAAGCTCTCAAATCCATAGACTAGGCTAACCCAACCTATCATCACTCAGCGTTAACCAATCGACACCGCGTTTTTTTAGAAGAATAAAGGTACTGGCTTGTTTATAGGATAGTCTTCGCAGACTATTGTATGCGTGTAATGCGCCTACAAAACCATTACAAATTTGAATGGAACAATGCGTGGGGGATCCCGAAATGTGTCGGCCAATGCCAGAGGATGTTGGATCTCATTGCAGATTCTTTGTCCGACAGCTGTTTTCTCTTTCTATCTGAACCGTGACCTCTTCAACAATACTGTCGGTGGAGAGTTGACTCTGTGTGGAATTGACCCCACCCACTATCAGGTACTGCCTTAGAACTTCTGGTGTTTGAAACTGACGACATTTTTCAAGGGCCCAATTGCATGGGAGCCTCTCATCTCAGAGACCTATTGGCAAATACAGCTCGGAGGGCTCAGCATCAACGGGCAGCAAATTATCAATGGACCCTTCACAGCAATCGTCGACAGTGGCACCTCACTCATTGCTGGACCACCGGCACTTGTCCAAAAGGTAAACTTTGACATAACAGAACTTCAATGTACTTGTTCCTTGCTCAACTCGCAGTTTAAGATCCAACAAGCAATCGGAGCAGGCGCATCAGGATCGATTGACTGCAACACTATTTCCAATCTTCCACCAATCACTTTCGTCATCGGTGGTGCACAGCTGGTAATGACGGCACAGAGCTACGTGATTAAGGTGTCAATTTCGTAACGTTTGCGCCTGAAAAGTCGAAGCCGGGAATAGTTGCGTTGTTATCGCAGATTAACAGGGGATAGTGTTAGGTCTCAAATGCCGCATGATGCCACACGTAGGTAAAGTATGGAATACTTAGTGAATCGTTCACATATGTCCATCTCATTTTTCTAGTACACCGACGGAACGTGCACATCTGGTTTCCAAGAATTCCCAGAACTGGCTGCTGGTAAACTTTCTCTGTTTGGACAGCGTTCTCGGTAGGACTGTACAACGTGACTTCAGAAAATTCATGGATCCTTGGTGATACCTTCATCGGCTCCTTCTACTCGATATTTGACCATGGTAACAGGCGTGTTGGATTTGCAGTATCAACCTAAATTATCTGCAAATGGTAGACAAATCAATAAACTCTATAATAAACATCATTTCACATTTCCAGAAATAGACAGCGCGATCTTGATCAACACATGAAATAATTACACAGGCAAAACTTCCTGAATTAGTAAAGATCAAGGAATGAAGAAGATTCCTAGATCACTTTGATCGTTAGACCTCAACCGACGACGACTTCTCGCCACATATGCGTCGAGTCGTCTTCGAACCAATCCCTGGCCATCTACAGCCGGTTTCCCATCCTTCGCTTTGCAACGCTCGTCGGCAATATCCGCCATACGTGAGCCCGACGCTTCGACTGGATAAGTAAGTATACCGCTGATTTGCAAAAAGTTCTGCCATCAAACAAGACAGGCGCTGTTCCTCTGGAGCTAGGACAAACTGTCTCTTTTGACTGGTGATATCTTGCAGAATTACATATATCGACCACTTGAGAATTCCTCAACTACTTATTTAGCAAGAACCCGATTTCCTCACCCCATTCATCTGAAAGAAATCATTCGAGGTGCTCGTTCTGTGTGAGCTAGGCTTCTTTCT